TCTCCCTGGATTGTAAGTGGCGTGTTCAGTTACTGCACGTCCACAAGCATGACCTTACACTTTGTGGGTGCAAAGTGCATATCAAAGGACGGGATGACTTTGGTCAGTTCGTCCAAGAATCCTTGCGTCTTTTCCTCCTCTTCGAACATGAGAAGGATGTCGTCTGCATATTCCAGATCGACAAGGTTTTCTTCATTGGCTATTTGAACACCAGGGTTTTGGAGACTCTCCAGCGTTCGTCTCATTATTTCATCGATCACAAAGTTAAAAAGGAATGGAGAGAGTGGGCATCCCTGACGGACACCGCTTTGTGTGCGGAAGCTTTTGGAGAGCTCTCCGTACACTCTCACACGTCCGGAAGTCTGAGAATACAAAGAACGTATTATGTTTACAAACTTCCGGGGCATCCCTTGGTGGGCAAGCGTCTCAAGAAGAACAGACCGATTAATCGAGTCGAATGTTATTAGGGGCGGATGACCTTCGGACACCAACGCCAGCAAAATTTCAGGGTGTTACAAAGATGCTTATAGGGCTACCCATCCCCGAACGTACTGAGGGGCTTGGCATTCAAGTAGGTTCCGAATGGTGATGGGTGGTTATCGTGACTTGTGAGAACTCTCATATTCCAGCTTCTGACACAATCCTCTTTTGGGCACCGAAAGTGTGCTTCAGCTAAAGTTTACTCTTTTGGCGTTATACCCATTATTAACTGTTCGTTTTAAATGAGTATGGGGAGTAGCTTCCTGGGTATTTCTTGATAGAGCCGAGATTGTGAGTTTATCACATGTCACAGAGTTTATTGGGAGTTTGGTACCGGTTACATCTTCATCACCGCTTGGTTTGTGCTTGTTGGAGCAACTCTAATTTTTGCACAACTAAGTATAGGATACAAGACAACGGAACTAATACGGAGGACTGTCGGTCAGAATTGCATCCACGTCAGCTGGTCATAATCCATAGGTTACCTTAGCGGGCTTCCGTGATTTTACGCGTCACACAAGACCATCGGCTTTCCACTGTGTTTACCTAACTGTATGTTGGGAGAAACGATTCAAAGGTGATCAGCCTATGGCTTAGTAACACATCATGGACGACCTGACCATCAAACCCATCAGAGTCGGCAAATGTCATTTACCTTAATGGGGACCTTGAGACGATTGTCAACCACGCTAATTAACTCTGACAAACTTGCCTGAATGCGCGGACCATGGCACTTTGGCTTTGAATCTACTGCTTTCACAGCCCATTTCTCATCTGATGAAAACAGTTCTGTCCAATTTTCAGGCAGCCAGAAAAACCGGTTGCGAATGTGTAAGAAGACTCAAAGATTTGCGGAACAGACCCGAAACTTGCCAGGTAAATAGACGGATGGCTAAGCAATATGGCCAAGTGGATTGTAATAAATAGCGATGAAGTGTAAACGGGGCAAATTCCTTGAAAAATGTTGAACTGCACTCCACGCACAACATCCTGCCCATCGTTCGTCATCTCCTTACTTGGTGAAAATAACAGCTGGAACCATGGTAACTAGCTCGCCCTTTTCGCTGCTGTGACCGTCGTGTGGAACACATGCATTGTGTTTTCTAGTTTTGTATCAAGCAGATACATGACTGTCCCTATTACAGGATACACTGTCCCCGAAGCGCTTGGTGGCCGTGATTTTTTTTAAATTTTTATCCCGAGCTCGAAATAGCTTGATAGGTTCGTGGTTTAAGCCAAACCTGGCTTCTCGACTGTTTCTATCTAGGCTTGGACAACCTGGCAGTATCTCAAACCTCGTGCTCCCATCGGATGACATGGCAGCTAACCATGAATAATCACTTATTATAATTTTTGCTTTCCATTAACTATGCTCCTTTCTCCAGTATTTACTGACATTTATCTTCGTTGCGTTATCTCGTCTTGCTCAGGATTTTTTATCATACCCAGTAAAATGTGCCTCGCTACATCTTTCGAAGGCAGATACCACATTCTTTTTAAACATCCTCCCCTCATCCTTTCTCTTTCTAGGGAAAGCATTATTTTGGTGGCCAATGAAACAGTTGATTTATGTCTGGCTTCTGTGTCACTTCGTTACTGTCCGATCGAAAAACGTAGATCTCAACAATCTGAAGTAAGTAGTTTGGATTTTTGACAACAGTTTTAGAAACCGTGTTAAGGAACTGTTCTATCATGCGTACGATGGTTATATGAGATACGCCTATCCCCTGGATGAGTTGCGCCCGTTGACGTGCGATGGTCACAATACATGGGGCAGTTTTTCCCTGACCCTAGTTGATGCACTGGATACTCTGGCCATAGTAGGAAATTGGAGCGAGTTTCGTCGAGCGGGCCAGATGTTATTGGATCATTTGGATACCAGTAGAAATGTTAATGTGTCGGTGTTTGAAACAAATATTCGAGGTTGGTTCGTCTCTGTAATTTTTATGTGATCTGCCCATTTTAGTGATTGGTGGCTTACTATCTGCTCACTTGCTGTCTCGACGTGCGGGCTTTCGAGTTGAACCTTCTTGGCCCTGCTCAGGGCCTTTACTGCGACAAGCCGAAGTATTAGCCAACAAACTACTTCCTGCATTTGATACACCCACAGGAATGCCTTATGGTACAGTCAATCTGGCTACCAATGGTGTGCCTCCCAAAGAAACTCCGGTAACTTGTGCTGCTGGTATTGGGACATTGATTTTGGAGTTCGGCACTCTTTCCCGCCTAACANAATTCCTTTAATTTTCACTCTATTCATTTGTTGAGTCATATTTGCATTTGGAAATATGTCGGAATATTGACTGTTTAGGTGCATTCTTCATGTATTCATCAGGTGGCTGTTGATTTTTTCGCCGAACCTGCCACTTAGCTCGCACGCAGGTCAGTCGATTGATTTCCTCCCTTTGTTCTGAGTCGACTGGTCCTAATTGGAGTGTTTGACCGTACTTGTTGGTACTTGTGGCTTGACACTGGTCACTAACGGCGTACATTGTTGGGTGAAATAAGATTGAAACGTGATCGCCTGACGTAGGCCGCTGGAAGATCACAATTTTACTCTGCAAATATAGCTACGTTAACTTTACTGCAAAAGATGAACATGGTCCAATGATTAAGATATATTGAATTTCTCACTTCGCTGATTGCATGGATTTTCTATAGAGGAGAATGTCGATAGCTCAGGTAGCGCAGATGGTCATTGGCTTGTTCGCTGAGCTGGGCAATTTGGTTGCAAACGTTTCATCACCGTGGTTGTGCACAACCACGAACCCACCGCTACGCACAACTACGCACTGATGATGTCACCTCGATTGGTGATGAAACGTTCGCAACCAACCAAATTGCCTTGCGTGGATTGTTTGGTTTTGTGAGCAAGCAGCTTAATCGCGCACTTGACCGTGCTATTCGAAACGTGTGGCTTAATCAAATAGCGCGACCAGCTGAGTACCGTCGCCGAGCGTCCGATGAGACATACACATGGCCACAGGCACTGCTTCGTTACGGTTACTGTAGGGAGACTTGTGATTTTGCATACACTTGATTTTATTCTCGTTAGTTGCTCACAATCGGCCCATTCTGTGGGATCGAATAACTAGATTGGTCGATTCAGTCTGGATCAAACTAGGGAACACTGGCTGATTGGGCTTTAGTTAATTCCGATCCATGGTTTGCCATTTAGATTATGCACTAATATAGAGAAATCTTTTTCTCAGGAGATCCAAGATTCGAAAAAGTGGCAATGAATGCTTTACGTAGCATTTGGAAGTACAGGTCCGCATTGGGACTGCTGGGAAATCATATTGATGTTCAAACGGGCCGCTGGACTGCCACGGAGTCAACCATTGGTGCTGGTGTGGATTCATTGTTCGAATATTTGGTCAAGGGTGCCGCTTTGTTTCGGCTACCCGAGCTGGATGCCATGTTTCGTGGTGAGTTGGATGCATCAGTGCAATTTAGATTATCAGTACCGATCAAGGTCTTTCGGCAAATATAATATACGCAAGCGGAAAACAAAGATTGTAGCTGTGTGAGTGAAATTCATGAATTAGGTCCCTGGATGCTATGTATTAAGGATCTGTCCAATTCTGAGTGCGGATACTCAGTAATCCCAGAACTTCAAGTGGTTCAGATGCAAGTTTCGGTGCATAGTCGCTACACAACTCTAAGTAAGTAAGAGGGCTGAGATACTGCTAGATTGTTCAAAACTAGGTTGTTCAAACTAGGTGGAAGTGAGTGAAGAGCCGGGGGTGATTTGCACTCAGTGACCTATTTCAGTGATCTGAAGTAGTTTGTATGTACTCTGATGTAGGTTGTACGCTCCGACATTTGTCGGTACCCTCGAACGAACTCGTTGTCTTCCTCTGCGTTTTATTAGTCTCCCCGTTTCGCGCATCTCGCTTAAGGCTGATTTTATGACCTCGTGGACAGCATATCATTGGGGAGTGGTCCTTGGTGGTGGGCCGATTATCAGTCCTGCGTCAGACATGCACTGAGTGCCCTAAAATCGCGAAATGTGTACTGTGTCGGTACCTAACGGACTCTGTCATCGATTTCCTTTTAAGTGTTACTGATTCGACAAGGGTCACTTCATTGACTATTACTAGACATGTGTTGATTGCAACACCAAACTCCCGTTGAACTTAGCATGGTGATGTGAGGAGATTTGGTCATTTTCAATAGATTTTATCTTGTATTCAAACGGGAAATTTGTTGAGCGGGATCAATACAATACTAGGCACTGAATTAGATTCACCCTGTGTTACCACTTTTATTGGGATGCAAATACTACGCTTGCTTTACGCCCATTACTGTCGATCGCTGTCTCTAGAGTAAACCGTGAGATTTTTCAACTCAAATTCTGCTGGCCGCCCGTAAGGAAGCCAGTCGTCAATATTGGAAGGGAAAGTGATGCAGTTGTGGACTACTGAGAGGGAAAGTCACCTCGCAATTAGCATGGTATGTGAGGAGATTTGGTCATTTTCAATAGATTTTATCTTGTATTCAAACGGGAAATTTGTTGAGCGGGATCAATACAATACTAGGCACTGAATTAGATTCACCCTGTGTTACCACTTTTATTGGGATGCAAATACTACGCTTGCTTTACGCCCATTACTGTCGATCGCTGTCTCTAGAGTAAACCGTGAGATTTTTCAACTCAAATTCTGCTGGCCGCCCGTAAGGAAGCCAGTCGTCAATATTGGAAGGGAAAGTGATGCAGTTGTGGACTACTGAGAGGGAAAGTCACCTCGCAATTTATCATCCCAGGTCGGAAATTTGCTTTCATGCCAGGGCAGGAAACTTCTTTGAATAACGACTTAGCTCTGACTGTATGGATCAGTGTAATCAAATTTTGGGTCTGCTTTCTGGGGGAACTGAGACAACTCGACAACTATTTTGGCCGTGCTTTTAAAGGCCGCTGGAGTTTCGATCCAGGAGAATGCTCTTGTTACTAGTGTATCTTCCCCCTGATGTTTTGGTATCGCTGCTCCCTGTGGAATTGGTTTCCCGTGGTGTCTAAAGTTCCCTCTTGGAAACCTTGGATAAATTGGCTCCCGGAGTCCTGTGGTGGACAGTTTTAGTCGATTTACTGGAAAGTAGAAATGAAGTCGATATTATCAGTTTCCCAATCCTTTTTGAGATCCGTGTTGATTTTACTTATACCCATGAAGTTGTTATTTCCTGTTTTTCAGATTACTCATAGATTTTCCCGAAGAACTCTGTGTGATTAGCCCACTCACTTGGAATAATTAGCTAGACACACCACCGTGTCAACCGTTAGGCTGGCGCGTGGTGCCCAATATTCAGAATGGACCGATTGTGTTACCTTGGTACACAATGGGAGATTTTGAATAAGACTCAGGAGACTAGATTGCACATCGCATGTGAACGCTACTCGGAACAGGACCAAGTTCTTGTAAACCGTCACAACCTGCAAGTCGGCTACCAGAACACTGAAGTTAGTCTTCCTGTTCTTTCTTGTAAGCAGGTTCATTAGGGTTGAGGAATTTCATTTGCTGATGTTCACAAGAACATGGCTGTTCTTGTGACTCATTTTAGTGGAGTGCATTACTTCATTTGGGGACAGCACAAATGGGCAGTGAAGGTGAAGGCATATCTATTCAACAATGTCGGTTCCCCAAGTTCCCCGGCGACTGAAATGATCAGGATACAGTGATCGCTGATAAACTGAAGGAATTATACTTTTGCGTTGCCAGTCCAAACGAATCAATGAGTCAGATTCACATATTAGAGGTACGAGTAAGCTCTTGAGGGAGGAGCAAACAAGTGGATAGTTTACTGGTGGTGCGTTAATTCGGTGTAGTTCTGTCGGCAGGAAAATAGCAACCTACAGTGCCGTGTGTGGCAAATATTTTATGGGAGTTCGCCAAAACCAGGCATACTATTTATGTTTGTAGATGTTGAAATGTTAAGTCCAAGTACGCCTAACATGGATGAGAAGACATTCCTAGGGACTAGCTTGAACAGCCAACCTGTCGCTTTTCGGCTTTCCGCTTTCGACTGCTCTAGCTACCGAGATCGCTCGCTCCCCATCGCGCTTATGCACATTAATATCTGAGCTGATTCACTACCCCTCTATCAAAAGGATTAACAATTCATTTTTGTGGTGGTACGTTACTTCGGTGTAGTTCTGTCGGCAGGTAAATAGCAACCCGCAGTGTAGTGTGTGGCAATTGTTCTATGGGAGCTCGCCTCAACCAGCCATACTGTTTATGTTTGTAGATGTTGAAATGTCAAGTCCAAGCACGCCTAACGTGGGCGAGAAGACATTCCTGGGGACAGACTTGAACCACCAACCTGCCGCTTTACGGACTGATACTCGACTGCCCTAGCTACTGAGATCGCTTGCTCTCCATCGTGCTTGTGCACTTTAACTTCAGAGCTGATCCACTACGCCTCTACCAAATGGATTAACACTTCATTTCTGTATTTTGTTAATCAGCGACATCTGCGTTTTATTCACCTAGAAAGTTTTCCGACTTCTTGAATTGAGCACCTGTCTCGTTCCAGTTTGTTGAGGTACATTTCTTCCTCGTAAGCCGCATTCTCATGTCATTCATGTCCAAGTAACTGGAAGTATCCGCTCGAAATGTTACAGGTTGTTGGCCATGGGGAATTAACATTTTCCTTTTCCGGCCCGTGGCTGGAAACAACATATGCACTGTGGTCAAGTCGCTGGTACTGTTTTACTCACAAAACCACCATGCGCCATCAGTTTATTGGGGTGTGATAACATCCGAACAAATCCACGCCCCTCAGACACTTGTGCTGAGCTTGCTGTCATAGAAGAATTCGAGGATTATCGAACGGCCATACCTTTTTACATCATTTTATACAACGAGCCTAGCAGCCCGATATTGACCATCGTCTTCTGAATTCTTTCAAACTGCTTCTGCAGTTCGAGTGCGTTTTCCATGATTGTGTCACTTCCTTGTGTCTCATTGATCCGGGAGCCTGAGCTATCATATTTTCCTAATTTTTCTATCTCCAGAATATAAGCGCTCAATCGACGCTTATCTACGGCATAACGACTGGCATCTTTTGGTGAACAAAGACAGTGGACGGGTGACGAAACCCATCTTTCAAGGTTTGGATGCGTTCTGGCCTGCTGTTCTGGTATGTGTTGCGAACATTTCATTCACACTGAACTATTCGGCTTTGAGTCCTCGTAAAAGAATTCCCTTATGCGAACTCCAATTTTTGCTGTAGATGCTCGTAGGTGTTCATCCTACATCAAAGAGCCCTTTTCCATATCTTCAGAAGTAGCTGGTTTGGGGTTTTGAAGTCATTTTCTGTCTCACGATGGTATGTTTAGATTCAACGCAATTGCTGAAAGCGGAACTCACACTGTCTCTGGGGCTCAGATGTCAACAAGCCTAGTTGTTGTTGCCCAAGACCAATCAGGTTATCCTGACTGGTTCACAAAAAGGCGGTCGCGCAACGCTCATTGTATGACTAACGCATTATTGTTTCCTAATCGGGACAGATTTTGTTCGCAGGGCGGGAAGGAAGCTTCATTAGGTCAAGTTGGGCGTCCTGCACTCGGGAAAGCAGTTTTACTACTAAAGTTTGCTGCGAGATCGAGGAATGAGTGCAGGTAGTTCGGAGACAGATGTCAATAGTTCTACGGGTGAGTGCAGTCCTTGGCGGTGAGTTAGGTTCTGAGTGATTGCATAATCGCGACAACTTGGATTTCGAATTTGAAACCTATTCCTGGAAGTGGATGTTGCCTAGGGAAGACGAAGTGTATGCGCATACCTGAAGAGGAAGAACCCCTCGAATCACGCATTGATGACGAGACGTTGGCAAGTTTGTCCCCAGGTTTGGAGAACCAATCAGCAACCACCTGATCATCACCCCATGGACGCACCTGAGTTACCAATTTCTAGGATGCATAGCGGTGGACGGACGTGGACACCTCGGCTGCTCTAGGATACTTACGGACGTAGGAGACCATTCCATTCCCAGAGATGGTAAAACTTTTGCCAGGACAATTTAAAATACATCCGTATGTTTAAAATTATTCCCGCGACGCCTGTGGATGACTTAGGGTGACTTTCAGACTCTCTAAAGTGGAAGGGGCGTACACTGGACCAGAAAGCCGGAAATATTGTCGACCAGTCACGTTAGAGATGTAAGCGACTCTCAGCACGAACGCGAGCTGAGGAAACATCCACCCTACAGTACACTCTTCGTATAATGATGAAACTTTTGCAAATCACTCGCCAAGCTCAGCACTTAAGCCAACAGCTACTGAATATACCCAAGCTACTAATATCTTGAAATGTCGCCAACAGCTTTGAGATTTGTATGCTCAAAACAGCTCGTTTTGAGACATTTGGCTGTCGACAGGTGTCTTACAAGACAGAAGCTATTATCATCTATTTTTGAAGAGCATGGTGAATATGGGAGAGAGAAACGTCTCATTCGAAATCATGCCAAGGACAATGCCAGTCTGATGAGGTGAATCCCAAAGTATGTAAATATTTTGTTTTGGGAACACGCGTCTAAGGACCAACAACCAAAGAAAGGACAAACAATGGTGAATGCTCTTCAAGGCGCAGTGTGCGCTAGCACAGTCAAGACTCGCACATCAGGCACAAAGTGACCGTCATACTGGGTCTGGTGTGAGATTAAATGGCAAAAATGTACCTTCAACGCCATGTGCCACGCATAAAAGTGTCATAAGTACGCAGGGAGCCCACAATGGCAAGCAAACACAAGTCACTGACTGCGACCTTAGGAAGTCCCAGTCCAATAACAGCCTTAGCGGATTGAGGAAAGCAGATCCCTCGATAAGAGATGATCGAACCGAAAAGTCGATATCACAACCGATGGCATGTAGGGCTGAGATTATGGCGAGGGAATGTTCATCAGCACCATACTTCTGCTTCTTCTCATTCCACACTATCACTCCACGCCCATCCGAGACTATGCTGACGTCTATTATAGTTGCACGGCGATCTCGAACAGCGATTAGGTCGGGTTTGATGAACGACGTAGAAGTAGGGGCTCTCAACTCCTCGAAGACGGTGTACCCCAGTCGACGGAGACGTTT